TGAGAGTACCCACCAAGCAGTCATCTCGGCTAGGGACAGTTTAAGGTTTAAGACTGAACTTGACTTGAATCATTGTTAGTTATGGTATCCCTGTATAGTTGATTCTTCTGTACGTGTTTATTTTTGGGAGTGAATTCGGAGCGTCACATTAAAGTTAGCCTTTTTGTTTGGTGTGATAAAGAGTGTTTTGTCACGCCCATCTTGTGTCTCTCTCTCAATCCATCCATTGAAAGAATGGTTTGAGAGAGAGACACGTAATTTCTTTTTTTTTTTTGCATTACCGCATTTTTTGCTCATCCCGAAAAAGTTTTCATAAAATTTGCCCTGCATAATAAACGCGCCCTCAGCTTTGCTCAGATTTTCTGAGAAAAAAGTGTGTTCATTACGCGAGCAAGTATGGTACTACTAAAAACATCCCTTATACTATCTTTGGCATTACTGTTTGTTAGTTTTCATTAGTATTTTGCCATAAAATAAAAAAACGAGCCCTTAAATATCTTCCTTCCTTCATTCGCAAGTAACAGTGCCATAAACCTATAGCCACTCAAGGCAGCTTTGGCTGGTACCATGATCTAGGCACATCCCAAGAACACTACAGGCAGCTTTGGGGAGTGCTTGCAAGTCCTTTGGAGATGGGCAGTTTGAAATCACACTGACCAAACGTGGACCACTAATATGCGACTCTCTTTCAACCTAAGCACTTCCCTGGCGCCAAGCAACCACAATGAGGACACGCGATGATATCTTAGAAGTCCGCGTCGACTTGGTAATTGTTCCTTTAAAGGGGTTGTGAAAAGTTCCCTCGTAAAATTACAATGTGGAACCCCCCACAGCCATGTGCACTGAGTAGGTGACAACAGCCTAAGTAGAGTAGATGAAGATCACCTACAGCAAATCTCTTTGTGCGCGGATACCGCAGAGCTGAGCATTCCTCGATAGGTCTACACTACTGAGGCTGACGTCACCTCATTAGTACATGTGGTCTGCCGGTGCTTCGGCACTGTTGTTTTAGGAACAACCTTTTCATGACCCCATTAAACGCTGCGGTAAGTCATTGACCATGTTTGTGATCACGTATCGAGCTAGGCTCATGTACAATACTCCACCAGTCTTTCCGACCAAAGCGGAAAGTAGACAAGCTATTGCCACACTTTTGAAAGACTGACAATGTAATGGGAGTGGCATCTGCTCGTCCAGTAAAGCTGTACTCTGTCTTTGAAGTTCCCTTCAGCCCCTTAGCCTACAGAAACGGCGATTATCTAGCCTCCCCACATTTATTCCTCCACAAGGCGTCATGTGTGTCCCCCTAGTGTCTTCGCGCACACAGTAAGTGAGCAGACGGCAGTGCAGGAGCATGGCTGCACACATCGACACTGGTGTCCTTCGCCTCGAGTTTACCTCTTCATTTTCATGTGCTCAGGGGCCGTAAGTTCTAAACTGATGCTTGTATTTGCTTTACAGTTATGTTTATGAGCTTCAGCAGTGATGTATTCGAGACTACACTGTGCTGTTTCTATTGACCACTATCAAACTCTCAGCGTGTTAGACTTAGCAGGTGTGGTTAAAGAAGCATCTTGTTTTGCCAATAAACCCAGGACATACCTGATGCTTTGCCCTGATCTGAGATGACACACAGCGATAGCTCATAAACACCTTTCATTTGTTGCTGTGAGCACTTGAGGCGAGCGTCAAGGGCAAGTTGGGATCTTAGTGGGCGGTTGCGCCTGCATGGGTGCTGCCATGTTGATTTTTAACCACAGTTACCAGTAGAGTTATTCAATCATACCAGTGCCGAAACTACGTTCTAGAACCCGGACACGCAATAGGCCAATTTGAGGGAATCAGCAGACTGTTGCACCATCTGGAAGCAACAACGCAAAACACAAAATAATGCATTTAACAGTTGGTGTGCTGGTCAACAGGCAGCGAAATATTCTGCTCACTCCTGACATATGAGCCAATGCCGTGTCCAGATTTCGATACATGGAGCTCATGGGAAGTTTTGAACTCATATGATTGAATAACTCTGGCTACCAGTGGTTACTGATACACTAATTAACTACACCCGTAAATTCGATAAAAAACAAACATATTACTCATTTATGCACAGCAGCAGGTACTAAACAAGGGCAAATGTCTCAACCTTGCCAATGGACACTTCGAAATATAGTGAGTGCCCCCTGGCGTATGCTTGAGAAACACCTGTAAGCTGCCTTTCCCGCAACAATGTTTTCCAACCAGCGGCATCGTTTCCAGACTACTTATACAGTCTAGCCCGCGTATAACGAGCCTGAGCCTGAGGCAGCATCCGTTCCCTGTATCCCAAAGTTCATAGTAAATGAAACAGCTTTTAAAAAGTTGCAAGTGGAAACACAAAATTTTTTGCCCAAAAAAGTTCGCGACGCACGTGTTTCGAAGAGCAGGACCAATAAGGGCAATCTCAAGTTTATTTCAAGCGGCAGCGCGCTCTTCGCCGAGGCCCGTGGCATAAGCTGCATGAGGCACTGGCTCCAAAGTTTCGTCGTTCTCGCAATCCGATTCCTCCAAATCGCTCTTGCTGCGTACTGATTCACAATGCCCTAATCTGTGCACAGTTCCACGGTGTCGGCATCATCATCGGCTGTAATTAAACCATCACAACAGATGTCCCACCCGCTCTGCCAAATCAGAGTCGATGACCCGCTACCTCAAATTGCGGCCGGAGTGGTCCCGTTCGGAAGCTTCTGGCTGAACATTGGGCCTGACGTCGACGAAGTCGGCCTCCCGAAAAACATTTTCGTGCGTATGGAGCCGTCACTGCCGCCCACGAAATATTCACAATCTCCACAGCTGAATAACGGGACGCCCGAAGTGGCAAGTTGGCTGCCAGGTGACAGCTATGAGAAAGCACTCCACAATGCAGCACCTAACGTGCGGATTACGCCCAAGCCAAGCGGTCACACTTTCGACGTTTTGTTGAGCGGCAGAAAAAAAAGAGTGCAAGGCCTCCCGTCTGCCTTCCTGACTACACACGCACACCTGGGGCGAGCAAGACGAGCACACGCAACACACATGCCATAACGCGTGGTACAGCTCTGGGTCCGTTTCTAGTCAGAAAACAAAACTTCTGAATTTGAGTCAGCGTGGCTGGCGTCGCATAGCAGTAGAGAAGGGCAAAGAGTTGTGTCAAGAGAGGAGAGCCTATTTGCAAGAGAAGGGCAAGGAGTTTTGACAGAGTCAAGAGAGGAGAGGATACGGCGGGAAGGCGACCTTGAAAACCAAAACACGCGGGAAGGAGACAGGTCGGGCAGCTTAAAGTCCCTTTTTTCAGAGACACGCACACCGAGAGCGAGCAAGACGTGCACGTGCAACACACATGCCAGAACGTATGGTACAGCTGCTATGGGCCCGTTTCCAGTCAGAAAACAAAACTTATGAATCCCCTTTTTCAAGGACTTTAGGGCAGCTTGCTTGAAAGGTCCGCATATTCCGCGACTCGCGTGTAGATAAAATTGAAAGAGGGTCTGCATGCGCAGAGGTCCAAGCATGGCCGCCTGGATTGGCGAGCGCGTCGGTGTTCAAAGAATCGGCGGTCGTGGTCAAAGAATCGTTTTGTTGCGCAGGCGGATTTGCGTGGCCTCTGCGACTTCGATATTTCGCGATTCATTCTGCACAAATTAACAGCCGTTTTTACGTTTTCGCATGCGTACAGAGGGCATGCTGAGCCGAGGGCAAAGTGAGCGAGAACAGGTCCTAAACACGAAAAGAATTGCGAACTATCAGAGTGAGTGGGGTAGCTTACGTGGGTGCACTACAACGATACGATAAAACAAAACGCAGACGATCAGATACAGTCGATGTTGGCAAATGGTCTGGTCACTCCAGGCCGGCGACGTCAATGACATTACCAGTGATCGAAAACAGGGCAGATGGCCAACAGGTCTTTGAAAGATGGGTGGCAGTGTGAAAACACGAGCTGCGTCTGGCGATGCGGGGTGCTCAGAGTATGGGTGCACTAAGGAAGGGAGGGTGTGTAACAAAGAGCAGTCAGGGAGAGTGGCAACTCAAGGGTCACGGAGGCAGGGTCGGCATTTAACAATAAGAATCTATGGGCACCTCTCCGATGCCTCATTCAAAGTCGAAAGTGGTTTCCCAGGCAGTCGGCAGCAGAGCGCTGACTCCATTCGCTGTAACCGATCAGTGGCGCTCAGAGACGTTCGTTGTAAGTGCGATTTTGTGTCATTGAAACAATGTATATTTTCACGGTCATGCAGATATTGTTCGTTTTAAGGGAAAGTTCGTTTTAAGTGGGGCCGTTACATGTGGGCTCGACTGTATAGATTTGAGAATGTTCACCCCTCTACATTCCAGTGAAGGCATGGATGAACCACGAAGGTTGTTCAGAGCACACTGCAGGAATGTCATGTCTCATGGTACGCTACCCCCATCACATGCAACAAGATAACGGGAAAAACAAAATAAAGGAAAAAATAGCTTGCCGGGTAGTCTATGGTCGAGGCTATCTGGTTGAAAACAAACTTGCTCGCACAAGCACAGTAACGATTTTGCAAACTGGCCATTGCAAGGCAATATTTGGAACTATGTTTACCTGTGCAAACACGTTGCATGCTGACACTTCGTAGCTTCAACAGCGTTGAATGGTTGTGGTTACATGGAGCATAGAGACAAAGTGAAAGAAGGCCTAAGCCTCAACACAAGTGGGTCTGCCAAGAAGACAGTTGTGAATTGATGCTGGTCGCTGAAGTCAGCATATTACTTAGCCTGGTATAAACACCGATATTAAAGGTTCCATTTTCCAGGGTCCCATGTGTGTATATGTAGACCAATGTTTTGCTAGTTTAGTTCAGTCTGTGCTTGGGTTTTGTGATGGCATAAAGGCATGCTATTGCTGATATTGCCCTGTTACTAAAGGATTGCGTTATCACCCAAACGATGTTATTTAACAAAAGCTTGCATAAACACTAAGTATAGGAGTAGAGCTTGCCTGTGTAGGCCCTTACCCGTGGTTCCAAATGGAGCGCGTGCAGTCGTTGTCCTCCAGGCTCAAGATGACTGCCTTGCTGACATTTCCTTCCTGATATAAAAAAAAAAACAAAGTGTTGCATTTGCGTTGTTGATATATGTGAAAAATGCACTTTTGCATCACATAAAAACACAAAGATACGCAATGCATCAATGCTAGAAAAAGCCATAATAAATATACTTACATGTATAATCATGTTGCAGGCTATTACATTGACGTTTATACCTTTACATTTGTATACAAGTACAGTCGAGCCCACATATAACGGCCCCACTTAAAACGAAGTTTTGCTTAAAACAAACAATATTTGCACGATTGCGAAAGTATACATTGTTTCAATGGCACAGAATCGCACTTACAACGAACGTCTCCGAGCGTCGCCGATCGATTACAGCGGACGGAGTCAGCGCTTTGCCAACTTCCCGGGGAACCACTTTCGATCATCGATAAGGCATCGGCAAGGTGCCCATAAATTCTTCTTGTTAAACGCCGACCCTGCCTTCGCGCCCCTCTAGTTGCCCCTCTCCTTAACCACTTTTTGTCACGCAGCCTTCCGTCCTTTGCCCACCGCTACCTTGAGCACCCCACGTTGCCAGACGAGGCTCGTATTTTTACACTGCCACCGATCTTTCAAAGACCGGTCGGCCATTTCCCCTGTTTTTGATCCCTAGTTCTGTCGTTGCCGTCGCCGGTCAGGAGTGAATAGACCATTTGCCAACATCGTCGGCCACCGACTGTATATCGGCCACCGACTCAGATAATTCGAGATTCGTATCGTGTTAAAGACTTGCTCTCGCTCACTTTGCACTCGGCTCAGCATGCCCTCCGCACGCTTGCGGAAGCGCGAAAATGGCTGTTGATTTGCGCGGAATGAATCGCGAATTATTGAAGTTGGTGAGGCCGCGATAACCCGCTGATGCAACAAAACGATTTTTTGACCACGGCCCCCAATTGTTTGAACATCGCCGCGCGCGTCGATCTAGGCGACCGTTCTTAGACCTCTACGCGCGCAGGCACTTTTTCGATTTTTTTCTACACGGGAGTTGGAAATGGCCTTTTCAAGCAAGCGGCCCGATTTGCCTCCTTCCCGCGTGTTTTGGTTTTCAAGGTCGCCTTCCAGCCGTATCCTTCCGTCTCTTCATTCTATCGCAACTCCTTGCCCGTCTCTCGCAAATCAGCTCCCCTCTCTTGACACAGCACCTTCGCCCATCTCCATCGTTCGCGACACCAGCCACGCTGAATCGAATTCAGAAGTTTGGGTTTCCGACTAGAAACGGGCCCAGAGCTGTACCGCACGTTCTGGGATGTGTGTCGCGTGTGCGCGTCTTGTTTGCTTTTGGTGTGCGCGTGTATGGTCAAGATGGCGGACGGGAGGCCTCGCACGCTTTTTCCAGCTGCTCAACAAAATGTCGAAAGTGGGACCGCTTGGCTTGGGCGTAATCCGCACATTAGGTGCCGCGTTGCAAAGGGCTTGCTGTTGACCACCTGGAAGTCCACTTGAAGCTTCGGGCGTCCCAGTATTCAGCTGTGGAGATGGTGAATATTTCGTGGGTTGCACTGACAGCTACATGCGTACGAAACTGTTTTCGCGAGACCGACTTCGTCGAACTCAGGCCTGATGCCGAGCAAGAAGCTTCCGAACAGGACCACTGCAGTGGCGAATTCTGGCAGCGCGTCGCCATTTCCGACATGGGAGAGTGGGTGGGACATCTGTTGTGATGGTTTTATTACGGCCAATGATGCCGACACGAATTAGGGCGTTGTGAATGAAGTACGTGGCAAGAGTGATTTGAAGGAATAGGATTGCGAGAACGACGAAACTTTGGAGCCAGTGTCTCATGTAGTTTATGCCACGGGCCTCGGCGAAGAGCAAGCTGCCGTTTGAAATAAACTCAAGATTGCCCTTATTGCTTCTGCTCTTCGAAACACGTGCGTCACGAACTTTTTTTGGGCAAAAAATTTTCTGTTTTCACTCGCAACTTTTTAAAAGCTGTGTTTCATTTACTATGAACTTCGGGATACAGTGAACGGATGCCGCATCAGGCTCAGGTTCGTTATAAGCGGGCTCGACTGTATATGTGTGTGTATGAGTATCAATATATTTTCTTTTTGTTTTTATGTTTGTGCTATGTTCTCCAGTTTACTTAATATGTCATTAGTTTTCATAGTATAGTAACATCAGTAAATTATTTTTATAAATTCATTTACTTCTTTGCTGTTTTATATGCCCTTCTTATATGCTATCTTACATATTTTTGTTCTTTTTTCTTCTGCTTATACGTATGACAAGTTCCTAAGCTCTGTAAATACATACTTCATTTGTTCAAATGGCATACTTTAAGTCAAAATATTTGTGTATGCATACTACTTTTTTTGATAAGTGACATGCCTTTTTTTATTGATTACTTTTAAATGTATACGAACTAGCCTTTAGGCTAAGGACTGGGGAGCATACTTGACCAACGGCTCTCCAGTACGCTCGCTGTCAAATTTCTTTATTTCATATTTCGTGTGACTTTTTGCAGCAATATACAGCAACTGAAGCTATATTTAAAAAAAAAAGCATACCAATACAAGTTTACAAGTGAAACTAAGAATAAAAAAAATCCACCGTCTACAGCTGCAGTTTGAACGTGGGAAACAACCATTCAACCCCTCGACCACTTCGGCAAAGCCGCACGGAGCTCTTAAAGCTACGACACATTGCAGACTACCGATGACAGCGCCACAAGCGGATTGATGCTGTTCGGGCTTCACTTTTAATACATTGGTACTGCCGCCATTCTGGGCACTTCCCTGTTCTAGTACACTCTAGCCCTGCATTGCATCCCTCATAGACACTAGCGCGAGAGTTCCCTCTAGTGTATTTATAGAAAACTATGACTGTGACACACCTTGATGACAGAATATGCCAACAGGCCAGACACTTATGGTAGTAAGACGGTAAGTTGGGCCAGTTGGTTAGGATCCATCGTGACCTTACTTACAGCGCAACACCAGAAAAAGTACAGGACAGAGAAGGAGCAAAAGCGCCGTCTTTTCTTTCTCTTTTGCCCCTTCCCTGTCCTGTATTTTTTCTGGTGTTGCACTGCAAGTAAGTTCACGATGGATCAGAAACCTATGGTTTCAGTAGAGACATCTTGCTGTTAGTGGTGCAAGCTACCATGTACTGCTCAACTGGTGTATTGTTACAAAATAATCCTTAAACTCGCCCACCTGCATCTCATCTGAGGGCTGCACGCTCCAAAGGGAGGTGTGTGCAAAGCCATGATGGGGCCCTAGCTCCCAGGCACCGAAGTTCGCTGCAGCAGAATACAGTGGTACACCACCATAAGTGAAAAAAGTAGTGCTGAATGAAATCAAGATTCTGGGCAGAAGTCATGACAAATTGGCACGTGAAATACTGCAATAATAGCTCTGTGGCATTGTGCAAAAGGGAACACGATTTCCTGCAATCTTTTCTTATATTCTAGAGGACCAAATAAGGATGCAAACATGACACACAGTGCTTGTACTTGGGTTTTGTAGTGTGCCTTTCTGGTTAGTTAGGCTATTGTGAAGGCAATTGTGAAGGCAATTGTGATATGACTCTATGACCACACGAATGTACATAGATAATTAGAGATAAAGTGAATTCAATTAAGGGTGAACACGGCCTTTGAAAACGGTAAAATTGCGAAAAAGTCGATTTTTGGGAAACCACGTATTCGGACTGTACGTGTCTAAACTACCTTTTCTGTAAATATCAACGTCTAACACATCACGAAACTGCTTGAAATAAAGTTTACAACAAGACGCCGCAGCCCTCGAGTGACACGAGAGCGCTCAAAACAGCCCAACTTGGCACGATCGGGGTTTCTCGACTGCTTGACGGAGGTTCGCCATTTTGGAGTTGTCTTGTTTGTGAATTCTTGCACTTTATTTTCCTGCGAACCGCGACGACGGTGGCAGCGCAGGAGAGGAGCAAGCTGCTCATGATTGGAGGGCTCGCAAGAACTTTGAAGTTTCCCGCGGCAGAGACGCGCCACCGGGATCGGGCGATGCGCACGCTCCTCAAGGACGAGAAGGTCTCTGCGACTGCGATTGGCTGCTGCACGCAATGACGTAGTACTCTTGCACACATAATGCAGCTCTCCGTCCTCCGCTGCTCATCCTTCCTCGGCGTTTTCTTAGTGTTCAGCTCACTATCGTCTATCATTGCAGCCGTATGCATACTCTTTGCGTTTCAACAGTTTTTACGAAACAATTTTCAAGCGTCTTCCTGATACGATTTTCAACCGTCTTCCCGATACAATTTTCAACTGTCTTTTACAAGACTGCTGTTGCGTTCACTCACGATGCGTCCAACGAAAAGGATGATGCAACAAGTGTTCGGTGCAAGGAAGGGATCTATGAAGGTTGTTGGTCTATGAAGGTGCAGTGCAAGAAAGCAATCTATAAAGGCGTTGTATTATGTTTTTTTAATTTTCTAGCCAGACACTTCCTTTCTCTTTACATAATATATACACATTTTTCCACGCATGTTATTTTGATGTGCTTGATTTAAGCCCACAAAAACTCTGAGCAATGCTCGGTGCACATTGTACCTCACTGTTTGAGAAGCTTGTTATTTGTAGTTGATTATTTTGTTAAGATTGCGCACAGAACGCAAACACTCAAGAACATTCCACAGCTTGTGCAACCACCACTGATAAGACTAGAAATCTCGATGCATGATGTATAAAGGACGGCGCATCCCAAAGATGATCAGTTAATCGATGACCTACGCACTGTGCACCGATATCAGTGCACAGCGTACACTGCTTTCCATAATTTGACATATACACACACACACCTAACTTTTTGAACGTGATTCACGCAGGACCCGACGTATTGTATGCAAGGAATGGACGATGAAACTTTCATGGAAGCGTCTTATCTGATGAAGCCTGGTCCACGAGCTGAAAACGTTAAGTAAAAACGCTTTCGTGAAAGTTTCGCCGTCCTTTTCTTGCATACATATAAATATATTGTGTACACGTATTCCAAAGGAGTACGTATGGCCACTAGTGTGGATCCGGTCTAAGCGAGCCACAGAGAAAGCGTTTATAGTCGCCATGGCGAGAACACGGTACTGCTCAAGGTCGCAACACTTTATTGCCTGCAGCAACACCAACAACGTAGTACAGAGCCAGGTGCAAAAGGGGCGGCGGGAAAGCAAATAGGCCTATCCACGTGCCGGGTGAGAAGTACTACACAGGGTGTCGAGAGCACGTCTTTGTGGGCAAAAGTGATTCACAGGGACACTGGGACAAAGGGCCCGGTCGCTCGAGCGAGGGCAAAAACTCCGCTCACGATGGTTTCGGAGAGGTACGGGTCGGCGTAGTTTGACCACACACTAGGACACCGCACCACTTTTCGGCCTAGCGTTTGAACGGGGCTACAAAAGGTAAGCATTCACCACGGGCACAAGGCGCCGTTGGCGAAGTCCGGACGAGCCCCAAACAAAAGGCGGCTGATGGACGGAAAAGAAATGGCTGCTTACCCCTTGTCGTCCCCAAAAAATTCTCTCTCACTCCCGACGTGCGCACACGAAATGTCCCGACAGACTTTGCGCCTGGCGCCACAGTCGAAATCCGTTATTAAGTGAGAGGGTTTAAATGTCACTCCCCGCTCCCTCAGCCCAACATACCACAGAGGTGAGGAGACTCATGTCTGGACATGAGAACGCAGAAAGAGGCGGCAAAGCCCGCGCAAAGGCAGCAGCCTAGCCTCGATTCCCACACACCCTTCTCCTAAATTTACCTTTTACCGGTCTGCGAAGGCACCCAGACGTCACTTATGCAATTAAAATGACACTGCTATGAAGAACAGCTAACCTCAGTCATATGCTATCACTGATGCTAAAAAACGATAAAAAAGAAGAGAAACATTATTAACAAAATTAAACACATAACACTATAACATGTTTGTGAAAAAAAACAAAGGAAGTTTGGCTCGAGTTCGAGGTGCTAAAGCGGGATAGCGTCTACTGCACGGAGGGGGGCGGCAGAGGGCAATATTGTCCGCTGGGTGCGATGCCCATGTGTCAGGAGTTTTGGAAGGGAGCTCTCGATGGCTCGTTGCTGCTCTTGATTAGTCAGAGTCCGACGAACGCCGCTTTGGTGTTGGTTCGGATGTCCCAAATTTATGGCTCAATGACAGAGCTTGGACGTTGCCAGAAAGCCGGGCCTCTCCAGGGATAAGGGAGGCCGAACAGAAATCAGCTGCGAGACGCCCTGGCGTTGGCAGGCAGTATATAGCTGTCAGTTGGCCTCGTGCAGGAGCCAAGGTGGAAAAGGCAGCAGGGCTTCTTGTAGACGGCCAAGAGCATAGCACAGCCGAACTGTAACGTCAGTAGGTCAGGGCCCCGAGCACCTCCGGTGTCCACGTCGATGGGAAGAAACCACGACGTGCACTCTTTCCGGACACGCACAGAAGCGTCACGCACGTACACATGCACAGAAGCACGCACGCACACACTGCCGATAAATGCCTGAGCAAAGGCGCAAAGCGTCCTTCGTCTCTCTCACAACACATAAGCACCAATGTTCAAACTCACAACACCCTTCACCGGTAGATGAAATATAGCATCAAAAATGTTAAGCAGAGCAAAAAAAATGACACTGAATATTGGGCCAAAAGAAAATAAAAACAAAATACAAATGAACACTTATTATTAGACAAAAGAAACATAAAAACGTAAAATACACATGAACACTTAAAAAAAGAAACCTTGGCAGCAAACCGGGCGAGGTCGACTTTTTTACGAGAACAGACCATAAAGAAGCCAACCATACTGAGGCTAGATAGTAAACTGAGGGCCTTCGGTTGCGGAGAAGTCCGCCGTCTTGTGCGAAATCACAAAGGTGACTGCTTCCTCAGATTATAACGGTGCGGGGTCCGAATGCGGTCCGCCGCTCCGGGTGTGCCCCATTGCTTCCGTGAAGTGCCGCAGGGCGCCGGCGCGAGCTCGTCAAACCGTGATAAAGTGCTTCAGGTCCGCGATGTGGCCATGGCTGAGTTTTCCCAAAAAGGGAATTTTTCAGCAAGTATACGCCACGGACGCTCACTGACAATCGGTTCCTAAGACTGGGCGACTTGCCAACCCTTGGTTCCACTATTTTTCAGACGTCGCAGGCATGAAATAGCGATAAATATCACGCTTCGTGCCGGGCCAGGTCAAAACGTTGCTCAGTTTGCGAAAGCTTTAGAGCCACTCAGGTGACCAGCGATGAGTTCCTCTTGAAATGATCGTAACAGTGCGGCTCACACTTTTTGGGCATAGCCACCTTAAGCAGATCCGCAGACTTCTTGTCGGTGGCTATATAGTTCAGCAGGAGCCCGTCATGGTCCCGCAAAATGAATCCGCCAGAGACTCAGCGACACACGCTGGTTTCAGCCCCCTATTACCACACCCTGCAGAGCAAGCAGCATAACGGCGCTCCATCTCTTTCAGACAGTCGTTATCAGCGCCCGCTGCAGAGCAAGCAGAGTATACGGCGCTTCGTCTCTCCCATACTACACTTTGCTGAACCTTCAGCAGCTCTTCACTGCTGAAAGCGATTCCCATTCTCCCAAAGGGGGGGGGGGGGGGAGTCTCGTATCGCGCCCACTCAAGGTTTCTGCTACCGTTGCATCCATTGGCGTCACGGGTTCGCTCTCGACATTGTGGCTTTCGGAAAGCTTCCTTACTCGGCCGCTACACGGTGCGCCGCTTACCTTAATAGCAGCCAAGGTCGTCCGCATAGAGACGACCCCTTTTTGCCGCTGTTTTGCTCCTGACGCTTGGATGTGCAAAGGCACCGCGTGCGGCCGTCGCGATGGGATCATGGTTCTTGGCACACAACAGGGGGCGCGAGATAGCGCGTCAGCTACCACTTTGGTTGTGCGTTCACCACAAAAAGGGGGGTGACGACACAAAAGGGTGCCGAAGGGTGCCCGTCGATAGAGGCAATGGCCTCTTTGTGCAATGCGGCATCCGCCTAAAAAGGTCAGCAAACAAAAATGCCACAAAGCAGGCATGTTGCGACGAGCCCGAATCGTGCAGGCGAACTGACTTGCTAAGAGCAGTCATAAGCTTAGAGCTTTTGATACTGTGTTGGGCGCCAGTGTAGTGTACACGTATCCCGAAGGATTACGGCCACTAGCATGGGTACGGTCTTAGCGAGCCGCAGGGCAACGCTTTAACCATCGCCTCTGCACACGCAGGTTCGGACAGCCATGGTGCCGAGCGCAGGGTCGCATGGACGCGATACTGCTCAAGGTCCCAACACATTATTGC